CCCTCCAACCGGATATTCCCTTACCCCAAAGCCGCACGGCCCCATCCTCGCCACCCGACAACACTTCAGGGCTCCGCTCCCGCAGTGCCAGGCAGTGAATATAGTCCGTGTGGCCCCGGAGAGCCCGCTATAGGGAGAGAGGCAGTGTCAGGATGAGATCCAGAAAGAATGCCTCTCCCCACTCCTCCCTGACTACCCCAGCTCCATGACACTCTCACTGTGAAGGTCCCTGTCTCAAGGTCCATCGTATGCAACTGGCAGTCTCCCCCTGCCAGGATGAGGGAATTCTCCTGAAGAGGAAGGGAGGGTGGGATCAGCAGTCAATGTCAAATCAGGACAGTGATGGAGAAGGATCGAAGTATAGGCCAAGAACAAGGCAGAGTAAAGCCTTAGTTATAGAGGGCTCAGACCTTGGGAATAAGAAGCAAAGCATTGATCTCAGGCACTTCCAGGCTGGTCCTAGGGGAAGGATAGGGGAGGGAAAGTGGGGGTCAGCTCTGGTGAGGCAGCAGCTGCACCCCCATGTGCTCTCTGTTCACATGGCCCTGGCTCACCTGTATGGGGGCTGATGTCGCCATAGCTCCTTACAGCCCTTTGTGGAGGAAAACAATGGGTGACCTCAAAGGCTCTCTCAGGGGCTGGATGCCCCAGCGCCCCTTCCCCAGCTCCATACTTCTTACCTTCTTGAGAATCTCTGCCCAAAGCCAGGCCTTCACCTCTCCGTCACCAGCACTGAACAGATGTCGATCAGTGGAGACCATGCTATAGACAGGCCCATCATGGGCTAAACGGAAATGCAGAACCTGAGTGACTCTGTCCTGCTTCCCTCCTCTACCCTGGGGTCCCTGTAAGCCAGACTCAATGGCTACACTCACCTTGGAAGGTCACTACGGGCTTCTTACTTTCCTCTTTGGCCTCGGAACTCAAAGCAGCAGACAAGCTGAAGGGAGAGGGGGGCGGGGTCTGAGTCAGAAGTAGGGGGCATCAGTCCCGGGAGGGCCTAGTGCCAGAGTTAATGGGTGGTATGGAGCAGGGGCGAGAGTACCTGAAGATGGCTATCTGCCCATAATTGTTGCCAGCTGCAAGGAACTTCCCGCAGGGTGAGACACTCTGGGAGAAAACAGTCATGTGCAGCCGCTGCAGGGCCTGAAACACTTCCATCTGTGGGGAGAGGCTGGATGAAGGCTGTCTGAGACCTTCCATCCACAAACTCCTTCCTGGTTCCCCTGCCACCAGTTGGGCCACTGCCCAAACTTCTCAGCTTTTTGAGGCGCACTAAGCAGGCACCTGCCCATACAATTCCAGTAGTGGTTCCAAGAAGAGGGTGAGGAAGGGGAAAGTTGAGTTGTTAATGCCTAGTAGGACCTTGAGCAAGCCCCAGCCTCTCCTCCAAGTTTCTTCAAATGTCAAATGGAGCTCACAAGAGATTCTGTCACGATTGGATGAGTTACTGTATATAAAGAGTTTTGCACAGGGCTGCCTCATAGAAAGCGCATAAACAGTGGCTCTATTACCCCAATACAGAAAAACGTCCTGCCTTCTAAATCCTACTGACTTTCACATTAGGTCCCTGAGGTATTTCTGGGTTACTCTTCCGTCCCCGGGGTCAGAAGCCGAGTCGCACTGACCAGACCACACAAAACAGGGCTCAGGATACGATTCATCCCCTCCCTACGAGCCAGGCATGGACTACAAAGCCCATAAGGCACCGCACACCACGCACGCCTCACCTGACCCAGAGGCACCGCCTGCGGCACAGCTCGCTCCATCGCGAGAACTACACGTCCCAGAGTGCTCCGCGCGCAACGCAGCCTCACGCGTCCCGACGTGTCACTGAGCGGCACACCACCACCGAACCTCACCACCCCAATACCGCCGGTCGCATCGGCGCGCAGGCGGCCGCTGCGTACCACCGGAAGCCCAGGAGCCGAGGTGACCACTGCGGAGATCCTCGACACTTAAGTGGCGCCCACCACAATCCCGCTACACTGGGTCCCCTCCCCCACGGAGCACACCCGCCTTCCAGCCGCGCGCCAACTGTCTTCCAAGCCTGCGCGGAATCTTGCCGTTACGCGCGCCTAAAGCCACGCCTCTCACGTTGGGCCACGCCCTCGAAGGCTCCGCCCCTGTCGCCCGGTTCCCGCCCCTCTACCCACAGAACTCCGAACCCCAATGATCCTTCAGCAATCTCCGGAACGAGGACCCCCGGGTCAGGCCTTGCGCGACCTACGGGCCGCCTCGGGGGCACCTCGAGGCCTGGACGCGAGGTGTGTGTGGGGGGGGGCCCTGGGTGGACCTGGCCCAGGGGCGCAGGAACTTTATCTGGGAGCTCAGGGTTGATGTGCAGGATGACACTCGGTGTGGCGAATCAGCAGGGCCTGGGTATAAGTGCAGATGGGTTTGGAGACTTCTGAGGCAGGCTGCTGGATGGCCCAGGAGAGTAGGGGTGACTTAGGCATCAGCTGAAAGGGATGAGCTGAACGTTCCTGGTTTACCCTGCAGGCTCAGGCGAGCAGATCTTGGATATGGGGCCAAGAGGGTGGAGTGCACCTGGCTCTTTTTTCTTCCCAGCTCCCCTCCCCGAGGAGCTGTGCCCATGAGCACCAAGCGGCGCCTGGAGGAGGAGCAGTGAGTTTGAGGGCAGGGAGGGACTCCCAACGAGACCTCTTGTCACCTCAGGTCCCCATCAGCCTGCTTCCTCTGAATATCCCAGCCTGCCAGCCTCTCGGTCTCTCCCCAGGGAGCCTCTGCGCAAGCAATTCCTGTCTGAGGAGAACATGGCCACCCACTTCTCTCGACTCAGCCTGCACAATGACCACCCTTACTGCAGCCCCCCCATGGCTTTCCCCCCAACTCTGTCCCCACTCAGGTAGGCACCATCCACACTATCCACCAGCTGGGTCTTCTGGAGGATCACACCCGGTCCTGGGAGCCAAACTCTAAGCCCTGCCTCATCTGCTATTTTTAGCTTTTAGTCAACCTGTCATTCCTCATCTTGGCTCCTTAGATGGTGCCGGTAGCCAGGGAGCCCCTGGGGACCTGAACCTGGTTTGGGGGTGGCTCTGCCCCGCCAGCCTCAGCCGTCTGCCCTGTCATTTCCTCTTCCAGGAGCCCTTGTTCTGAGCTGCTTCTCTGGCGATACCCTGGAAACCTGATCCCTGAGACCCTTCGGCTTCTGAGGCTGGGGGACACCCCTGCCCCCCATTATCCTGCAACTGCAGCTGGGGACATAATGGAGTTCTGAGTGCTGGCAGTCAGTGCCTCTCCCCAACAACGGAGACCAACACCCCCACAAAGCAACCGGCTGCCCTGCTTTTTCTCCAGACCAGGCCTCTGGGCACCAGGACATGAGCCTCAATGAATCCTGAGGTTGGGAGGGGCAGGAAAGACAGCAGCAGGGAAAGGGAGGCATCCCCTCCACACACCAGAACTGAATAAAGATTACTAAGCTGATGAAGGCTTTAGTCTGGAACCTGGGGCCTTTGGAAAGAGGGAGGGCAGGGCTCGGGCACTCGATACTAGGGTTTCTCCTCAAGATCTTCCCTGGAAAACGGTCAGGGCCAGGCCAGGTCCTGGCAGGCTGGGCTCAGGCATTGAGAATGTGTGAGTCAGAGCCTCACCCCCGCCCCCGCGGCTGTCTGACTCACTCCTCTTTCCATCTCGGGGAAGTCAGGCTGGGGATCATGCCACTCTCCGAACCTCTTAAAGTTAAAGATTCTTTTATTAATAAATTCTCCCACCCCTCCAAACTTTCTCCCCAAAATAAATATCTCCCCCCCTTTGAGGGTTGGGGGGGCAGTGTCTTAGAGCCAGCCCCCCTAGAGGGCCAGCCCCCTAGTGTTAGGAACAGGTCCCTAATCCCCCCGGCTAACACCCCAATGCTGGAATTTCAGCACATCTTTGTGGGTGGGGCTTGGTGTTGTGTCTGTCCCTCAGGTCAGCCTGGCCCCCAGGCCATGGGGTGCAGGACCCTTGTGCAAATGTTGCGGTTCTTTAGTGTCGACTGTTAGGTGTGAGCCAGTCCGGGTCTCTTTTTCTGTCCTGGATCCAGAGACAGGGCAGTCAGATACCTTGGAAGTCTCTTCTGAAGCCTGGGTCCAGGCCTCAGAGAAGTGATTCACCTGTCATCCCCCATCCCTGCACACCCCTGTGGCTGGAGCAGCCTGGCTCTGGCTGAGCCTCAGAGGCAGGGGCTGGCTCCAGAATGAATGAATGAATGAATAAGTGGGTGTGGCCTCCTGCTGGCAGGGTATCCTCATTGTCACTGGATCAGTGCTACTCCAGGACAGCCTTCCCCGCCGGTCTCCTCTATGGGGGCTGCAAGATAAGAAGAGGGGTCATCAAGAGCGGGAGAGGGTGGGGAAGAGATGTTGAGGAGTGATGGACGGGTGGGCGGGCAGGCAGGCCAGGGCACACTTACTGGTAAACTTCTCTCTCCTGCGGCACCGTCTCCAGACCAGGAAGCCGGAAAGCAGCCCCAGCACGAGGGCCAGGCTCAGGGTTCCCCCCAAGATGGGCCACAACAGCTGGAAGGAGGCTGGAGGGGCCGCAGTGCCTGGGAGTGAAACTCAGTAGTCAGACCTCCCCTCTCCGGACCTGCCCCACCCACTAGATCTGAGCCTCAAGTCTCTCCTTCAGATGGCCCCTACCAGGATTAGAGGCCCTTTCCTACTCCCCACCCACCACATTAATTCCCAGGTCTGAAGTCCTCCAGCAACTCTCTTCCCCGAGTCAGGGTCTGCTCATCTCTGGCCCTGCCCGCTACTCACAGCCCAGGCAGAAGTCGCTGTGCGGTCTTGCCGGGCACGACGCACAGTCCATGCACTTGTCGAGGTCTGCGCTCCAGGAGCTGCCGCGAGAGCAGGGGGTGGTGCCTGGGGAGGGGGCTGTGGGTCAGAGGCTGGGGGCGGGGCGCAGCTATTCTGGGGGTTGAGGTCAGGGTCCGCCGGCTCGAATAACGTGAGTCACCGGCGCCCTCCTCCCGCATTCCTCACAGGTGACCGCACGGCCCGACCGGGACACTGCAGCGCGGGGAGGAGGGGGGCGTAAAGCGGGAGGGGGGGATCAGGTCCCCACAACCCTCCCCCCCGCCGTCGGCGGGTGACTCATTCCTGGGCACCAGGCCCGACCCCGGTCCCTCCCCCCACATAGCTGGGCACTGAAGTCACCGGATGGAAGGGGGCACCCCACATGGTATCGGGGCACAGACCCCCGTGCCTCTCTACAGCCCCCCGCTACGACTCTTCGGCCACTGGGGCTGGGCAGACCTGGTGTTGACCAGGCTTGGGCTATGCCCCTTCACTGAATGAGACAACCCGCCCTCAAAATTTTTCCACTTCCGAGTCCAGACTTTAAGGACAGCAGCCCCCGAGTTGGACAGGCAGACAACTGAGGCCCGTACTGAGGATGACACTCTGAGCGAGATGGGACCTCCCCTGGCTAGGGAGTGTGGTGTCTGGAGACTTGATCCAGGATCCCATGTCCCCTCAGTTCTACCCTCTCTTCTAGACACCAAAACCTGGTCCCCGATCCCCGGCTGGGGAGTCCCTGGCCCTCACGCCCAACCCCTTATCCGCGCCCAGCGTACCTGGCACCCGCTCCCCGGCTGCGGCGCACAGCAGCGCCAGCCCGAGCCCCAGCACGAGGAGTCGCAGCAAAGGGCACAGCGGGCCGGGAGCCATTGTGAGCGTCCCACGGCCGCTGCTGTCTACGACCGCCGCCCGCGGCCCGCCGCCGGGACAGACAGCATCAGCTCCGCCCCCGCCCCCGCCTTCCGGGGCAGACCCCTTGCCTCCGCCAGCCCATCGGCCCGCCCCTGGATGCCCCGCCCCTCCCGGCCCGCTAAATTCAGTCATTCGCTTTGCAAACATCCCTGAGAGCTAGGGGCCGGGACCGTAGGGACGAAGACCTGACTGCCCTCTCGGTGCTCAGGTCCCGGAGGTTTGGGATGAAGGGGGATCAGATATGAAATCACACATTGCAGAGCTAACTGCAGCTTTCGTAAGGGCCCCGGGGGTATAACAAAAGCATAACCAAAAAAATGATAATGCTTCATTTCTACCTTAGGACATGATTACCTACTAAAATGTAGGTTCGTTGTCTCCATTTTGCAGAGTATGAAACCGAGGCTCAGGAAGCTTAGGTGAGTTCCTGAGGTCACAGCGTTAGTAAGTGGCAGAGCCGGGAGCTGAGACCCAAGCTCCGTTTGGCTCCATGCCCTGCGCCCTGACCCACTGAGGGCCGCGACCTGAGCCGCTAATGTCCCCACAACCGAGCCAGGTGTAGGCGCAGCAGCCCCAGTCTCGAGCGCCCCCGATTGACGAAGCTGGGATTCGCGAGCCCGCGGCGATCTGGACTGGGGTCTCTGCCCCTCCCCGGGGCGGTGGTCCAGTGACGTCACCGCCTCTTTAAGACCCCGCCTCCGCCCCATCCCTGCATTCGTCTCGCTCTTACGAATCTCTGCGGACTCTCCTTCTCAGGTGAGCCAGTGGGCAATGTACATGTTGTAAGAGAGAAAGTGGATGCCTCGACGAGCGGGGTGCAGGGGGTGTGGCCCGTTGGAGAACTTGGAGTGATCTCCTGGAGGCGGCCACCGTAGTCGACGAGTCTCCCAGCTCGGAAGCCGCCGAGCAGATCGAGTCCTTCTGCAGCTCATGAAGGGTTAAACGCTCCTTCTCCCCTCCCGTGGGACAAAGGCACCGAAACCGGGTGCCCCTCCCCCACCTGCGCTGCTCTCTGGGGCGGGCTCCCCTCCCCCTCACCTGCAGGAGCGGACCCTGAGTCGGCGCCGCCATTAAACTATCCTGGGCGCGCGGCTCCCAGGCTAGGGGTGGTGAGAACATCCACTTTCAGGCCGGGCTCCTAAGGAAAGTAGGGATTGAGAGCGGGCAGGGGCGCACTCGGACTGAGGCCGAGCTCATAGGGTATGAAAAGGAAATGGGTCGAAGGCAGAGGAGGGGCGCAGGGTGCCGAGGCCCGCGTGGCCCCGGCCCTAACAAGGCCAGACGCCTGGAGGCTAGGCAGAGGACTGGGACCAGCAAGGTCTGGCCCGCCCTGTCCGATATTCCCCCGACCTCTTCAGCTCCGGCCAGATAAGGTTCGGATGCAAATGAGGAGTGGAGAGTGCCACCTGGCCACACTGCTGGGCTGGTGCTAGGTTCAGGTCCAAGCCGAGCGCTTTAGGCAATGGAGAGCCACAACAGGACCCTGAACAGAACTGATCCCGGTGGAGACCTCCAACACTAAGTGGGTGTGAGGGGAGACAATGGGGTCACTGAACCAAAGGACCTAGTTCACTGGATAGACCCCAAAAGTTTTAGCTCCTTTTAGGGAAGTCGTAGCCTGAGAGCATATTGGGCAAGAATATACAAGAAAAATGTCCCTAGCCTTTGGGAGTATGTTCTGTGGCCTAGGGGAGGGCAGAAGAGCAGGACCCAGGGAGGCAGCCCTGGCCTTTGGGAAGGAAGTACTTTTGGATGGGAGGGGTTTTTTCTCATCTCCGGCTCCTGGAGGTATTGGCTGGGCTGGGGCAGGCCAGGTGGAGGCTGGTGGGCCATCCAGATACAAGATCTTTAAGATCAAACTGGTAACCACCTACCTGGGATACAAACCATCTTGGTGTGAGGGGCTTGGACACTCCTGTTGGATTGTGGGAGGAAACTTGGATCTCTAATCTTGGTCTTGAAACTGACAAGTTTTGAGCCTGTTACTCATGGCTAGAGCCAACCTCTCATCTGTGTGCCCTGTGGAAAACATCTGTAAACTGCTCTGTCTCTTCATCCCCTTTTTGGGGCTTTGCTGTTTGATAAAATGTACCCAAAGTGGCTGAAGCTAGGGACTAGCATTTGCATAGGCTTTATATTTTACTTCACTTACACTCGAAACAGCCAGGACCAGATGGCTTACTTATTCCTTATTGTAAGCCAGTGCTTGTCACATAATGAGGGAAAAATAAATAAATGCTAAAGCATTAAATGCTCATTTTGCCCATGAGAAATTAAGGTTCAAGGAGCATACTCTGCCTATGTTACAGGACATGGTGTCCCAACTTCCATAGTTTATACTCTTGGTGTCCTGCGTTCTTTGTGGCTGTGGCACATGGCATGGGGATTAAGTAGCACTCATTGGGAACAAGGGGTCTGGGCCAGCAGGTCTTAACATTACTTATGTCTCCCAGTGCAGCTCCTCTCAGCTTCAATCTCACCATGGCCTCTGCTGGTCTGCAAATACTGGGGATCATCCTGACGCTCCTTGGCTGGGTGAATGCCTTGGTGTCCTGCGCCCTGCCCTTGTGGAAGGTGACCGCCTTCATCGGTAACAGCATCGTGGTGGCCCAGGTGGTGTGGGAGGGGCTGTGGATGTCCTGTGTGGTGCAGAGCACGGGCCAGATGCAATGCAAGGTGTACGACTCAATGCTGGCACTGCCCCAGGACCTGCAGGCCGCCCGTGCCCTCTGTGTCATCACCCTCCTCATCACCTTGGTGGGCCTGCTGATCTACCTAGGTGGGGCCAAGTGCACCACTTGTGTGGAAGACAAGGACTCCAAGGCCCGTTTGGTGCTCACTTCCGGGATCATCTTTGTCATCGCAGGGGTCTTGACCCTGATCCCCATCTGCTGGACCGCCCATGCCATCATCCAGGACTTCTACAACCCTCTGGTGGCAGAGGCCCAAAAGCGGGAGCTGGGGGCCTCCCTCTATCTAGGCTGGGCGGCCTCTGGCCTTTTGTTGCTGGGTGGGGGGCTGCTGTGCTGCACCTGCCCCTCTGGGGGGTCCCAGGGCTCCAACCATTACCTGGCTCGATACTCGGCATCGGCCCCACGTGCCAACTCTCAGGGTCCCTCTGAGTACCCCACAAAGAATTATGTCTGATGTAGGGTAGGAGAGTGGGTCTCCCTTGATAGTGGAGCCTACCCCCTGAGCTGGAATCATCAAGATGCATGACAGCTTCAGGGTTGCTTTTATCTTGGTTTTGCTTTTTATTTGGGAGGGGTGGGATTTTTTTTTTTAATCCATTTGATAACCACCAAACCAAAAAGAAACTCGATCTTCCACTTGGGCTCTGCTGCTGGCATTTCTCACCTTTGGGTGATGAAACCAAGGATGCGACACTTCAGTTTCTGGATTTCTCCACCCTGGACATTCCCATCTTGGAGGCCAGCTTGGAGCTGTGGCCCTAGGGTGAAGGCTGCTTGCTGGCCAGGTGTTTTGTAACAAGATGCTTTCACAGTCTGTCTCCAAAGAGTTTTTGCTGCTGTTGGGGCAGTTCCTCCCTGGTCTTGAAGAGACAAGCCCCGCCTTGCTGGTCAGGCCTCTGGAGCTCCAGGGGCTTTTGTGCCTCAAATAACCTCTCCAAGAGCAGGTGATTAAGTTACCAAAGAACCTTCTACCTCCAAAGCTTCTGTCTCTTCCGACCTGAGCCATGTCCCAGCCATACTCCAAACCCCTGAACCTCTCACCTCCAGCCCCTGCACGCTTCTGTCATGCCCCGCCCACACGCACCAGTTTTTACTAAATAAAGTGTGTTTTGTTACTTGCCATTGGTGTTCCTGGAGGGCTGCTGAGTTCTAGCCTACTGTGAGGAGGTGAACGCCAACAACTAGCCTCCTTTATTCCCCCCTGCCTTGCAGGACTTGGAGCAGGCCTTGGCCTGGCAACACTTGGGAGGCCACCTGGCCTTCCCTGCCCAATAACAGATCAAGGCAGCCAGAGGTACAAATACTCTATTTATTCTGGGGACTTGGATGGGAGCAGGAAGGACTGTGCTGGGCCTCCTGGCCTCGAGGAGATGCTTCACCCAGAGGACCTGGCCTGGACCTCTGGATGTAGTGGTGGCCAGGCGGGAGGAAACTACAAGGCAGGCAGAGCATGATCCTCTTGTTTTGAGCCAAGGAGCTACTGCCCTTTGGGTGAGGCCCAGGTTCCAGGGACAGGGGAGGGCTCAGGGAGGAAGAACAAGAGGGCCGGCCTAAGTCTTGGACAGCAGAAGAAACAACTGGGCAAGAGAGGCAGGGGCAGGCCAGGAAGTGAGAACCTATTGAGGAGGGTCTGGTCTCAGCTAGGCCATCTGAGACTACCCCAGCAGCCATGCTTGGCTGGAACCAAGTGAGTTTCACTTGTGGGAGGGGTTGACAGAAGGTAGGGCCTAGAGAGGACATCAAGCACAAGGGGAGATTTCATACGTAGTCCCTCTTGTCCATCCCAGATGTGCCAGAACGGGAAGGGATGGAATAGCCCAGCCTGGGTCCACGGGGCCGTTCGATCTGGGGTGGAGGACAAGTGCAGCAGAGGAGACCCCCGCCCAGCATAAGCAGGGCAGCTGCTGCCCAGCCCAGGTAGAGAGAGGCCCCCAACTCTCGCTTGAGGGCCTCGGCCACCAGGGGGTTGTAGAAGTCCTGGATGATGGCGTGGGCTGTCCAGCAGACAGGGATGAGAACCAGGATGCCTGAGAGGAGGAGGATGACCCCCGCTGTGAGCACAATGCGAGCTTTGGCACCTTCGTCCTCCACGCAGGTTGTGCACTGGGCACCAGTGATGGCCACCAGAAGACCAAGCAGGGCCAGCAGTAGAGCGATGACGCAGAGGGCACGGGCAGCCTGCAGGTCTTGGGGTAGTGCTAGCAGTGAGTCATACACCTTGCACTGCATCTGGCCTGTGCTCTGCACCACACAGGACATCCACAGCCCCTCCCACACCACCTGGGCCACCACGATGCTGTTGCCGATGAAGGCGGTCACCTTCCACAAGGGCAGAGCGCAGGACACCAGGGTCCCCAGCCAGCCCAGCACAGCCAAGGTCATGCCCAGGAGTTCTAGGCCAGTTGAAGCCATCTGCTCCCTCAGGTCTTCTCAATCCTTGGCGGCCTGGTTAATGGAGGAGTCGGTCAGACGCTGCCAGGTAAGGGTTGTGGTGCCCACCAGTAAGCGGTAGTCAGTGTCCTCAGACCAGGACAGTCCTCACATCTGTGGGCCTCTTGCAGGGCATCTCCTCTCTCGGTGCCCCTCACAGGTGTCTCTGGCCCCTGACAAACACAAATCAATTTTACAGTCCTCCTCAGCTGAGAGGCTGATGTCCCCTTAAGGGGCCCGTCACCCAGCAGTTGCCCAGGGGCTGCTGCTCCTGAAACCCCGCAGTCACATCCTGGCCACTGTCTGACCAGCTGCACAGAACAACCCCCCTTCAACGACCCACCTTCAGGCTGGAGAGAGCCTCGTCCTCTGGCAGGCGCAGGTTTACAGGTTTACGCTGAGCAGTGCACCCTTGCTGGGTGCCGCCTGGGGACTGCTGGCTCCTAGCTGCAGGTGGGGGTGTTTTAAGGCCGAGGCAGGGGAGGAGCAGTGAGGCAGAGACTGGGGAAGCCAGCGCTTCGGGGGAGGAGGCAGAGGAGGGGATGGTGGTGGTGTATGGGGGGGTGCCCAGTGTTAGGAAGGAACTGGAGGGGAAAGAACATCCATGAGAACCCAGGGATGAAGAAATGGGGAGACTGAGGATCAGCTGGAAAGAAGGAATGGGGGGCAAAATGTCATTGGCTCAGAACAGAGAAGAGGAGATGTTGAGGGGCTCGGCTTGCCTTGCTGAGCCTCCTCCCCCCCAGCCACCCTCCCCTGCCATTCTTGATTTCCCTCC